CCCCCCCCACACACAGACTTCTTGCGTAAGAACATTTTGCGCAAGGGTTCTTGTGCAAGAAAACGTCCACACTGCCATGTGTGAACTGTGCTTTTGCTCAAGAGCATCCATGGCAGTGTGGACGCTCTCCTGCACAAGAAAGCTCTGATGGCCATTTTAACCATAGGGGTTTCTTGCACAAGAAATCCCTGCCAAGTGTCCGCACTGCCCTCTTGCGCAAGCGCTCCTGTGCAAGAGGGCTTACACCTGATAAAGTGTAGCGCTTGTGCAAGAAGCTCTCGCTTACCACACCATACTGTAAATTTCCTTGTGCAAGAGTGGGTGGGCAGTGTGGACGCTCTGCGGATTCTTGTGCAAGATCGGCTGTACTTGTGCAAGAAGCTGCGAGTGTAGACATAGTTCTCTTGTTGGTCCACACATGCCTTATTGTGCAAGAGCTCTTGTGCAAAAAGGCTTATTCCTCATAGAGGAATAACTCTTGCACAAAAAGCCCTGTCTTCTGACAATCTATAGTACTTTTTCTTGCGCAAAAACACACTTGTAGTGTGGATGCTTCATGAGTTTTTGCACAAAAACTCACGGTGTGGACGTAGCCCTAGAAAGAGGTGATATGTATGGGGGTGGTGGAGGGCGAATGGAATTGGTTCTTCCCTCTCTCCAGTTTGCTTGTACTGAGCATGCTCAATAAGACTGCTGAAGCTGCTGTCCTCATCTGGCTCCCTCAAGCTCTTATTACCCCCTCCCCCAATCAGGGCATACACAGGTTGCCCCTCCCCCACGAAATCTGAAATGGGTTGGCACCCTGCCCCACAGTTCAGAGTCCTTGGCTGCCTTCTGCACCCCACCCAAGCCTCCTCATCACTGAGCCTGCACCCAGCTGGAGCTTTCAGCCCCCAAACCCCAGCCCTGAGCTGCTACCTGTGCCTCGTCCCCGGCATGTTAACCCTTTGCCCCTGCTCTGAGTTCCCTCCTGCATCTCAAATTCCTCACCTCTGGCTGCATGCCCTTCTGCCTTCTGAACTCCCTGAAACCAACCTCCTGTTGATGTCCCTGCTCCAGTCTGAGGGAGGTGGAAAGAGGATGGAGTGGGGTGGGGATGTGCCAGGCCTTGGGGAAAAGGGCAGGACAAAGGTGTTTGGTTTTATGCCATTAGAAAGTTGTCAATCCAAAGGAGGATAGATATGTCTGTTCTCTCCAAGTATTCTTAGACTGCTCTATGCCCATGGGCAGCTGGTATAAGAGGCAAGGGAAGGCAAATGCCCTCCCAAGCTACCCAATTGGCCCCGCCCACACTCTGCCCCCAGTCCCACCCTCATTCAGCATGGCTCTTCCAGTCTTCTGGGGCTTCCCAGACTTCAGCCCCGCAGAGGCTGGGGACACACTACCAGACCTCCCAGGGCCGAAGAGGCTTGGACTGGGTGCTATCTGTGCTCTGGGGCCAAGGAGAGCCACTTGCTGTGTGTTGCCCACTCTCTGGGGCTGGAGGGAGGGACTTCCCACCCTGCTGTGCTCCAGGGAAGGCTGCAGCTGTCAAGGAGGCACCCATCCTCCCTCCCTGTGGTTTGGAGCCAAGAAGACTGGGTCTGTGTGCTGACTGCCCTCTGTCCCAGTGCTCAAGTAGGGAGGGAGTCTGGGGCTGTGCAGCACCTGCTGGGGGGAGGGCTTACTCCTATAGGGAGAGGAGAGGCTTGGCTCCCATGGGGCCCTGGGTGGCAATGGTGGGGTCTTGGACAGAAGGAGAGGGTGGGAGACCAGTGTTCATTTTTTTCCATCCGTGTGCAGAATGAATATTATGTGCACCAAGGCACGAGTGGATGTGCACCGCCAGTAGAAACACATGCTGCTGGCTGTGGCGTTCTGCTAATCAGCTGGAAAAATCTGAATCTCTTCTGGGTATCTACCCAAGCCTCAGCTTCCAGGAAACACTGTTGGGGACTTGCTTCCCTCAGCCCTTAGGTTCACTCACCACCCATGCTCATGCACTCTTAGTGTCATGTGGACTGGGTCATGTGGTTTAGGACATACTAGAAGTCTCTAAAGTGTCCTAAGTCACACCATTCCAGTTTGTCAGAGGCACCTTAAAGTTACTGGCGCTAGTCAGAGCTGTAGCTCACATTTGAGTGAGGGATATGTAACTGACACTAGATTCATGAGCTCCAGTTTTATAGGGCATATAATTTTGGTTCTTTGTAAAAGCAACAGCCATATTTTCTGGTGGGCAACAATCTGGGATTTGTCTAGACTGTGCAGTCTTTTAAAATATCTCTTATTTAGATTTACAATTTATCTTGTGGGGAAGGAATTTTTAAATGACTGTTGCATTCACATTGTATGAATTTCAGTGAATACAGGAGAGACTAACTGCTTTTTTTTTTTCTTTTTTAACCGAAGCATCAGGGACAAAGTTCTTCGAAGAGATCATGAGCCACAAGGTAGGCGTAAAAGTGTTGACCAGTCAGGCAGGTTGAGGGGCCTTAGGATGGAACACTAAAGGGCATATAAAAAAAGATACCGGAGCTCCCAAAATACATGGCTCAGTTTTCTTGAAAACTGGTTCTTTTAACCTTGTTAACTATATTGGGCAAAGAGGATGCTTCAGATGAAAATCTGTGCATTTTAACATCTTTTCTCAAGCAAAAGAATGTAATTTCCTGGAAGTTGAAGCTAAAAAACTGCAAAGTTGGCAATTAGGCTTATTTTTAACAGAGTAATTAACCATTGGAAAAATGACCAACTGTTGTCGTTGATTATCAAATTTTTAAATAAAAATTGGATATCTTTCTAAAAGATCTGCTTTAGGTCAAACAGGAATTAATTCAGTGAAGTCCTGTGGCTTGTATTTTAGAGAAGCTCAGCCTAGAAAAATGGTTTTCAACCTCTTTTCATTTGTGGATGCCTAACAAATTTTGAATGTAGGTATGGGACCCCTTTGAAAATCTTAGACAAAGTCTGACCCCCACAGTCCATGGATTACAGATTGAAAACCACTCCTAGATTATTATAATTCTCTTCTGGCTTTAGAAATCTGTGAATCTCCCTGTTTTTGATCTATAGGGTAGATATTTTAAGGAGGAGAGAGACGCTCACAGACTGGCTCATAGGGTTCTCCAACAAACCTTGAATCCGCGTTCCTTCAGCTCCAGTAATATAGATTTAGAAAACAACTATGGTAAGTTTCTTTACTGGCTTGTAACATTCATGCAGGGGGCTGATATGTCAAGGTTTCTTCCAATTCTGCAGTTCTATGATTTTATTCATGGCTATTGCAAAGATAGTGAGAAAGCTATCATTGAAAATATTTGGCTTTGTCCATCTGATCCTCTCATCTGAAGAAGTGGGTTTTGCCCATGAAAGCTCATGATACTGTACATATATTTTTGTTAGTCTCTAAGTCTTCTTTTTAAAGTTGCTTTTAACGTTACAGACTTAACATGGCTATCCCTCTGGACTCTTTACAGATGGAGTGGCTTCTAGGGAAGTAACTTTCCTCTGTAGGATTCAAGTGTTCTGGTAGACATTAAGGATGTTAAGAGGCAGGTAATTGGCTTATCGTGTAGTTGACAGAATTTTTATTAACTACACAACTAGTCGATAAGAGAAGGTGCTCATTCCTGGCTTGCACCAGGCCTGAGAGGTACCCCCGCTGTGGCTCTTCAATTTAAATGTAGAGGGAGTTAGGTACGCAGGCAATCCAGCTCTTAGTACATTTAAACTGCTGCAGAGCTGCAGCGGGGTTAGGTCCTGAGCCTGGCGCAATTTGACCATCTGATCATCTCATCTGAAGAAGTGGGTTTTGCCCATGATTTTCTCTCTCGTTTGTTAGTCTCTAATAGGGATGTTAAGTTACAGTTAATTAGCTAGTCAAGTAGTCAATGGAATTTCCATCAGCTACACGATTAGTTGATAAGAGAAGGCTGTGAACCTTCAACTTCTGTAGTCAGGAGTGACTCTCAGCCAGCAGTGTAAACCAGAAGGGTTTAGTCATCTGGAATACAGCATAGACCAGATGTTAGTATAGAAAGCAGGGCAGGAAGTTATAGCAAAGTCTGGCTTGGGACAGCCCAGAGCTCTGGGCTCTACCCCAAGTCTCAAACCAAGGAACTGACCAGGTTCCAGCAGCCCCCACCCCAACCCCCACCTCTCCATCACATCCAGTTGTTTCTCCTCCATCTTTTGTGCTGTTGCACAAAATTCCCACAGCCAGAAGTAGTAGACACTTGTTGTAATTACCCATGTCAGTGTTTCTCAATGGTCTGTACTTGAGATCTGCCTGGTACTGTTTAGGAAGGCAGCAAGCTGGACCCTGGTATCAAAAAGGTTGAAACATGTATATAATCAATCTGGCCCATCCCCTTTACTTCCAGTTCTCTAGAAAATCTTCCACAGTCCATTGTCCCATGTTCGTTTGGTGCATGCTCTCTGTCCACTGTTACCCCCCCTTTTTTTTCCTCCACTCAAGCTTATTTGAAGAGTGCATTTAAGCCCGTGAAAGCTCATGATACTGTATATATTTTTTGTTAGTGTCTAAGGTGCCACGGGTCTACTCTGTGTACGGATACGAGATGGGTAAATAGCATGGGATATGTGAGGGGAGACATCTTTGTGATAAGAAAGCTGCTTCATGAACACAAACTGAATCCTGGAGAAGAATCATAGAATACTAGGACTGGAAGGGACCTCGAGAGGTCATCGAGTCCAGTCCCCTGCCCCCATGGCAGGACCAAATACTGTCTAGACCATCCCTGATAGACATTTATCTAACCTACTCTTAAATATCTCCAGAGATAGGGATTCCACAACCTCCCTGGTCAATTTATTCCAGTGTTTAACTACCCTGACAGTCAGGAACTTTTTCCTCATGTCCAACCTAAACCTCCCTTGCTGCAGTTTAAGCCCATTGCTTCTTGTTCTATCCTTAGAGGCCAAGATGAACAAGTTTTCTCCCTCCTCCTTATGACACCCTTTTAGATACCTGTGTATTCTTATGAAAGATTGTCTCTCTTGCCACCAGAAGTTGGTCCTCACCTACCTTGTCTCTTCTGTGTAACTTTTAAGTAATTAAGGTGGCCTGTGGCTCTCTGAGTTGTCGTGTGGACCAGGAAGGAACATTTTAAAAATACCTGTGTTTGGGCTCCTAAGCACCTGCCAATCTCTGCACTGTACAGGACCAAGTGCACTATAGTGCAAATTGCATCCCAGACTTGTTTGATTTTTCTTACTTCAACAGAGATGGCCTTTGGGCATGAACATAAATGCAAAAGATTTACTTCAGAATGCTATGCTTCTGCCAGCCCTTAGCATATCACTATCATCTGACCTCTCTCACACCTACTTTCCCTGTTAGGTGGTTGGGAAAAATATTGCAATTCTGCTTTCGTTTACCTGGATTAAATTTTAAAAAAAGTTAACTAGCTCATTTGATAAGTTCAAGGGTTTTTGTAGTAATGTGTTTCTTTCCAGCTCACTGTTCTGTACTCAATATGTACTGGCCACTTTCTGCACTACTAACTACAATTTCCAAATTTTAAATTGAATATTCCACTCACCAAAAATACAAAGTGAATTTGGTTGGGTACACACAGTGAGTACGAACTAAGCAGTTTTTAACTTTCGTGTAGTCTATTAAAAATTAAAGGCTTAACCCCATTAGAGGACAGTTTCTGTGTTTAATGTGTCTCCACACTTGTTAATTGTGTTGATGTTCTTAATTCTTGTTTTATAGACTGTTTTCTTTTGTCTTTCTTTTTTCCTTTGCCAGTTGATGCTTTGGATCCAGAAAAGCTAATACAATGTCCATATGATAACTATCATCAAATCAGGGCTTGTCGGTTTCCCTATCATCTTATAAAGTGCAGGAAGGTAGGATGGGATGTTAAGGTATCTAATGCATTTGAGAAGTGATATTTTTGTGAATGCTAATGTGTGATGAGTTTAGTATGCTGTTGCCTTTTGGTGGAAGGCATGTATTCATTTGCACTTAAGCTGGAAACACCTATCTTTGTTTCATATTTGTATGTGTCATCCATTTACCACATAGTAAAAGCATTCAGTTCATCTTTAGTAATGCACTTCAGATCAGTGCATTTGCCGTGAAGAAAGGTGATACAGGTTCTTCAGAAAACTCAGTGATAGGATCTTATGTTCTTGCAACAGTTCATTCATTGGACCAGGATATTTGTCACACTTCAGGCCATGCAGGGAATACATGGATGCCTTCTGGCTGGCCAAAGCAAAAGCAATCTGGTGTTATAGTTAATTCTTTATTTTGCAATGCAGCTGCTAAGCCATCTTATATTAAGTATATATCTAGCTGAAACTTTCTCTTCAGTCTTCTGCCCTGGGCTAGAATTAAATATATTTAACAGGAGAAGCTGCTCCTTTCTTTTGTCCTCTCAATCTAGTCTCTTATTTTAACCTCTCCAGTACTACTGTGTTCTAGTTTACTGGTATCACCAAATGTATATTAGTATAACTGCACCCACATGTTAAGATGTTGTATCAGTATGACCAGGGCTTGACAAATGGCGGCGAAACCTACTCGCCAGCCCCACACTGTGCATGCGCAAGACCCATATTGCTCATGCGCATTCTGCTCGTGAACAGGGCGACCGACTGAAATCTACTTGCCACGGGTGAGTAGATTCAGTGATTTGTTGAGCCCTGAGTATAACTATTGGCTAAGAATCACACCCCGAGGCAACATAGTTGTAGCAATACAAAAGCCATGCAGAGCTGGCTTGAGCAGTATGTGTTCTTTCTCTGTCAACTTTATCCTTAGGAAAGAGCAAGGGTCTTTAATTCAGTGGGAATAGTAGTACTCTGCTGCATCCACACTAGTCTACCTATACTCCCAAAGTGCTCCTAATATAAATGTGGCCTCAGGTGGAACTTTGAGTAAATTCCATCTTGTTTCAGAAAGGTTAAATTAACTGCAAAGACTTAAGCTCTAGTGCATGCAGGGGCTAGTTCTCTAGTATGTTGCTTTCTTAATTTAAAAAAAGTGGCTGAATTATTTAGGGTTTCAGAGCACTTATTCCCCATGTAGAGTTTTGAGAGCAATTTCATCTGTGCATTGAACCATGTCAGTGATGACATTGCAACAGTTCCACTGCATTTGTACTGAGGCTGCTCTTCAGTCAGATACATTATACTGAATTTAAAAACAAACATAAGCTATGTCATAAAAAATGCATATGCTTTGCTGTTTCCCCACTGCATTTGTGCTCAGCATCTAAGCTGCATTTTGATTTTCCTTGTTTTAATTTTTTTCAAAAACTAATTTCAGGGTGCAAATTGTACAAACCCTTTACTAATGACTAGAAAACACAATGGTTATGGTGCATTCAATGAGTATAGCATGTACTTTTCAATTTCTCTAGAACCACCCTGAAATTGCAAAGCAACTAGCTACGTGCCCCTTTAATGCCCGCCATCAGGTTCCAAAAGCTGAGATCAGCCATCATATATCAAGCTGTGATGACAAAAGCTGCATTGAGCAAGACATTGGTGAGAAAATATTAGATTCCTTTACTCTAAACTCGCTTCTTGAACTCTTGGGCTAGCAGAATTCTAACTTTTGCTGTTAATGTCTAAGATGCCTTAATATTCTATTATTGCATAAGCAACCCTTTAACCATAGTGCTGTGTAATACAGAAGCAGCTGGAGCCCTTGGAGATTTGTATTTCATTCACTCTGTATCCATGCAAATTCTTCAAAACATCTGAAAAGCAACTGGCTTGCATTGCATGTGTTATCTGCTAGAGATTTTAGCATTAAAAAGAAAACTGTACATTGTGCCGTAAACTGTGTATTGAAACAAGATCTATTTGGGAATCTGGGTGGCTTATAGAGGAAAAATAATGGCCGTGAAAGAGGTGGGTCTGTCACCCCAGCACTTAAATCACTTGGTTATGTGGGTCATGTTCAAGTTCTTCTCACCCCAGTGATGTCTGTGTGACTATTACAGCACTGGAAAACAAACTGTTCACTGGCAAAAGTAAACTTGTGCTGAAACTAGTAATGATGTGTATTTTAATGTAGACAGGGCTTAGAGCACGACCATACTGAAAAATCCCTGGGATTGGCAACTAGAGGTCATATCCACCCTGCCAGATCAGTTTGTGGCCTGCGAAATGTTCTGTGTTGTAGCAAACATTTGAGTGATGCAATACAGCCTTTTAGGGTATGGCTTGCCAAAGAGTTCTCATGGATTTTGTGGCCCCTTGTTACCTTCATATTGTCCATTTCTGGCCTTAAGAGTGAAGATCTAAGAGTTTTGCTCCTAAGACTAGGCAAGTACTTGATCAATTTCCAGTGTATGCTATTCCTCTCCAAAGCCTGGAGCTATTTTACAGTTAGGTCAAAAATGATAAATGCCCCTATAAAGGATTTTATTTGATCCAAAAAAAGATTTTCTCACTAAGAATCTTCTTTGTTTTAAGTGAGTCAGTCAAATAACTGCCACAGAGAGAAGATGAACATTGTCAGCACGTGGCAGCCGCCCCCATGTGACGAAGACTGGGATAAAGGTAAGAAAGTAGATTGTCACAGTGGCTGTGAGCCCATACTATTGTCTTCTCTTCCCCCCCCCCCCCAAGAATTTACATGGACAAGGGGAATTTACATGGACTAGGAGAGAGAGAGAGAGAGAGGTTCTATAGACCCTTCTTCATGTTTTGGGATACCCAATTATACTGTCCCTGACCAAATCAAATTCTCCTGCTTCATGGGCTCTTCCATATGCCTACTCTTCTCCACAAAACATCTGTTGTTTCCCATGTGGTCTGTTGCACCATCTGTGCTTTGATGAAAATGGAAATTGATTATAACCTTTACACTTCATATTTCTCAATTAAATGTCTGCTTTGCTGTCACTTATGCCAAGCCTTAGCTCAATTCTCATTTGGTTTTGTAAACCTAGCAACATCCTTGTCATATTTCTCATTTTCTGTTGCTACGACGCTTGCAAAAGTTACTTAGGACTGAGCCACAATGATGTCTGTTTCCTTTGGCAGATCTACAGGAGCAATCAAATTCTACATTCATTTGGGGAACGTTTCGTAGTAGCACAAGCAGGTACCAAAAGGTGTATTCCTTGTGACATTGCTTTCCATAGAAAATGTGCTTTCAGACTACTTCTAATTCTCATTGCCCATTAGGGCAAGAGGCAATTTACTATATGAAACCTGGTTTTGGTGTGACTGGGTGGGGAGTTCCCACTGGAATGGATCAACATTCCTCTGACTCTGTCAGTGTTTCCTGTCTCCTTTTAATGGTAAGGCTGTATAAAAGCGTATAAGAACCTACTCTTGTTACCGTATAATGGTACTATAGTAGAACTAGAGGAGTAGTGATGGTCCTGAATTCAACCCCAACTGGTTATATATTTCTTGGGGTGGTATTAACCACTAAACTGTTATGCTGAGTTTGATAGAAGTGAAGGTTGATGCCAGCTCTTAAAGCCTAAATTGCCTAACTTCTGACAGCTGACCTCCTTCAAGTAACTTCATGACCTGCTGCAAATAACTTCTAACAGGTGGGAAATTTTTGAGGCAGTTAGAACTTGTAGTCAGAAATAATCATTTTATTGTTTGTGAAGAGCAATCAAAATGCAGGTTTGGAAAATGAAGCATAGTGTGTCTGGGCATTATCTCTCTTCTCACCTCCTGACTAAGTCATTTTACTATGCCTCCTCTATCTAATCAGAGGTCATCAGCATATGACCTTACACAGCCTGTAACAGTGACAGAGAATCACTGAAAGATGACCTCTAAAGGTACCAAGTCCAATCGCCTGCACTCATGGCAGGACCAAGTATTATCACTCCCATCTCTGAGAGGTGTTTGTCTAACAAGTTCTTAAAATCTCTGAGATTCTACAGCCTCCACAGACAATTTATTCCAGATCTTAACTACACTGACAGGAAGTCATTCCTAACGGCTAACCTAAATCTCCCTTTCTGCAGTTTAAGTCCATTGTTTCGTGTCCTATCTTAGAATCACAGAGCTGGAAGAGACCTCAGGAGGTCATCAAATCCAGCCCCTTACCCAAAGCAGGACCAACCCCAACTAAATCATCCCTTCCAGGGCTTTGTCATGCCGAGACTTAAAAACCTCTAGGGATGGAGATTCCACCACTTCCGTAGGTAACCCATTCCAGTGCTTCACCACCCTCCTAGGCTATGTCTAGACTGCAAACCTCTTTTGAAAGAGGCTCTTTCGAAAGATACTTTCATAAGAGCCTCTTTCGAAAGAGAGCGTCTAGACTGCACGTTGAACTTTCGAAAAAGCGGCTTGCTTTTTCAAAAGAAAGCATCCAGTGAGTCTGGATGCTCTCTTTCGAAGAAGCCCTATTTACATTGAAGAACGCCTTCTTTCGAAAGAGGAACTTTCGAAAGAAGGCGTTCTTCCTCGTGAAATGAGGTTTACCGCCATCGAAAGAAAAGCCGCGTTCTTTCGATTTAATTTCGAAAGAACGCGGCTTGAGTCTGGACGCAGGGGAAGTTTTTTCGGAAAAAGGCTACTTTTCCCGAAAAAACCCCTGAGTCTGGACACAGCCTTAGTGAAATAATAGTTTTTCCTGATATCCAACCTAGACCTCCCCCACTGTAACTTGAGACCATTGCTCCTTGTTCTACCATCTGTCACCTCTGAGAACAGCCTCTCTCCATCCTCTTTGGAACCTCCCTTCAGGAAGTTGAAGGCTGCTATCAACACCCCCCTCACTCTTCTCTTCTTCTGCAGACTAAATAAGCTCAAATCTCTCAGCCTCTCCTCGTAAGTCAAGTGCTCCAACCCCTAATTATTTTGGTTGCCCTCCACTGGACCCTCTCCAATGTGTTCACATCCTTTCTGTAGTGGGAGGCCCAGAATTGGGTGCAGTATTCCAGATGTGGCCTCACTAGTGCCAAATAAAGGAGTATAAATCACTTCTCTAGATCAGCTGGCAATTCTCCTCCTAATGCACCCTAATATGCTATTAGCCTTCTTGGCTACATTGACTATTTTGAATGCCTGCATTTGCATCCCTAGTTCGAACTAGGGTGCAAGTGTAGACATACCCTTAGGCATGTAGGTTTAAGGACACAACAATCAACCAATACTGGTTAATCAAAACAAAAATACCCCATGTGTTTATTATCAAAACAAAACTACTGTTGCAAGTATAGTAAATGACTGGGTGTTAAAAGCCATGGAGTAAAATAGACTCGGGGAAATACCTGGGTCTTAATCCTTAGTTACAAGAGAAAAACAACCAGCTCAGACATGATTTCCACCCCCCCCAAACAAGTAAAACAATTAACCTGACAGACTATCTAAACTTTTCCCTACTTACACATTTCAAGGAGTCACATTCCTGGGAGAGCCTGACTCCCTTGGTACCTGGAGAAAAACTGCTCTGATCTAAAAACAAAAAGAGAGCGAGAAAACCCCTTTCTCAGTTTGAAATTCCTAATTGCATTTCTTTCCCTCTACTATGTGCTGATTAGGCCTCAGTTGGAAGTATTGTGTCCAATTCTGGGCACCACATTTCAAGGAAGATGTGGAGAAAGTGGAGAAGGTCCGGAGAAAAGCAACAACAATGATTGAAGTTCTAGAAAACATGACCTTTGAGGGAAGATTGAAAGAATTGGGCATGTTTAGTTTAGAAAAGAGGGGACATGAGAGCCGTTTTCAAGTATCTGAAAGGGTGTTACAAGGAGGAGGGAGAAAAATGTTTTCATTGGCCTCTGATGAAAGGACTAGAAGCAATGGGCTTAAATTGCAGCAAGGATAGTTTAGGCTGGACATTAAGAAAAACTTCCTAACTGTCAGGGTGGTTAAACACTGGAATAAATTGCCTAGGAGGTTGTGGAATCCATCAGTGGAGATATTTAAGAGCAGGTTGGATAGGCATCTATCAGAGGGGATCTAGACGGTGCTTGGTCCTGCTGTGAGGGCAGGAGACTAGACTCAATGACCTCTCAAGATCCCTTCCAGTTCTAGGATTCTATCCTGCATCCCTATCCCACTCACTGGCATCACTGTCCCACACATTGAACCCTTCACTTTTGTTTCCACCCCAGAGCCTAAGGGGGTCTACAAAATCCACTATCTCTTGACCCCCAGAAAAGTAAATCTGGCCTATGGGAAGCTCAGTCCTCCCTGTCTCTTCCCCTCACCCTGTGGCTGGAGTGCCAAAAGAGTGAAGTGTCTCACTCAGTTGGGGACTACATCTGTGAGGGTTGACGGAGGAGTTTTTTTTTTTTTTTGCTTCTCACTTGTGTGGTCCCCAACTGATTTTTTTTTTTCCTGTGGATCAGTGGTTTCTGACCCAAAAAAGGTTGCCCCTACCACTGCCATAATGAAGAAAACGTTGAAATCTTTTGTGTTTGACATAGAAGAATATTTTACATTATTTAAAATGAAGTCTGATAAACTAACATTAAGCAGATTAAGCATTTTAATTTTCTCATAATTTAAATTAAACTGTTCTTACCAGCTACAGCACTAGCTGAATGGCTTGGGCATAATTATGTAATTAACAGTGAGTTTCCATTACCACCTGGTGGTCCACGGAGAGGTTTGCATTGATCCAGGTGGTCCACAGGGTGAGCGGTGGAGAGGACTCCTCTCTCCTTCCCAGCAGAGTGGCATGGCCCAGGACAGGAGGGTTAAATCTTGGCACGCCACTTTGGAAAGGTTGCTGACCCCTGACCTAGTAAATAAAACCACAATCAAAGCCTAAAATACTTGGAAGATTGAATATGAATTAGTGAATTCTTACCCTGGCTGATGAGGCAAGCAAGCTTGTGGATTCTTAAGGGACAAGCTGCATTTGCTTTGCAGTTTGGGATTCCAAGTCTTTTTGTTTTGGAGCTTCTCTCTGAGTTGTGGGAAAATGAACAACACCTTGCCTTCTATCATTTTTTCATATGGCAGAAACTCTTCTAACCCAGGCCAGTTTGTAGAAAAATACAGGTATCTAAAATGAAGTCCAGATATATGTGATCTGGTCACATGCCCTTGTAGTCATAGCAGCCAGTACTTGCAAGATGATTGAAAGGTCCACAGGAAGGCCAAGCTATTTCAAAGCCCATGGTCTTTGTTGATGAGCCATTAGCATTGTTTGGTTTCTTCATTGTTGTAGCCCATAATCCCTCAAATCCCTGAAAATGCTGACCATGGTCATTTACCAGAGTAAAAGCCCTTTGAAATAGAGCCCTAGTCAATATTCATAACTTTGGATACAAAAATTACACAAGCGACGAGGAGTCCTGTGACATTTTATAGACTAACAGATTTATTGGACCATAAGCTTTCGTGGGCAAAGACCCACTTAGTCAGATGCATGTAATGGAAATTCCAGAGGCAGGTATAAATATACAGGCATAAGAAAAGAGTACCAATCAAGAGTAAGGCTAGAGATAATGAGGTCAATTCAGTCAGGGAGGATGAGGCCCACTTATACAGGCAGACAAATAAGAAAATCATATTCAGTAATTCTAATGTCATCTTATGTAATCTATTTTGTACAAAAGTTATAATTGTTTTAATCATATCATCATATTATTATTCTATTACTATTACTGTAGGGTGTAGTGTCATACATCCTTTTTACTTGAGATCAAATTTTGAATTTTAATCTTATCCTTCAAGGCCTTGCAACCCCTCCCTATTGGGTATCATCTGCAGCAAACTGTCATTATCTAAACCATTTAAGTTATTTTATAGAGCTGGACCCAGAATTGATACCTGTGGGAGCCCATTCGATATGCCCTTCCAGCTGACTGTGAACCACTGATAACTACTTTCTGGGAATGATTTTTCAGTTATTTTCCCACCTTACAGCAGCTCCATTTCTGTAATTTCCTTAGTTTGTTTTATTAGGCGGTCATGTGAGCCAGTATCAAAAGTCTTAATAAACTCAAGGTACACCACATCTACCACTTTCCTTCTCCCTCCCTCCCATCGACACAGCATTTTACCATTCCAAAGAAAGCAATTAGGTTTGTTTCTCACAACTTGTTCTTGACAAATCCATGCTGTTATTTACAATAGGATGTGTGCTGAGATACTATTTACAGTTGAGAACAGTGCACTATTTATAACATAGTTTTTTCTTGATACCTTTTGGCTTCTTTCTTGTTTGGGTGACTGATTAACTGGTGATTTTAGCTGAAAAGTAGATGGTATCAACATATTTAACACTCTTCTCTAGACTTTGAGAGGATCAGTAACTCTTCTGATTGCATGAAGGTTTATATTAATTTACATACTCTGTCTGCTTCAAGGTTAGAAAAATAATTGGGTATTATATGGTAAAGGCATTTGGCTAAAAAGTACACATGTGCAGGATAATTTTTATTTGATCCTTCAGCTCTGGATCCAGTGTAGTAATGGAGCAAAAGAGTAACCTAACAGCAGGCATGAGAGCACCCAAGTCCTTGCCATATATCCTATCCTGGAAAAGCAGTAAGTACAAAGGCACGTGGCCTGCCCATGCTGTAAGCTAGAACCTGCATGTTAGCTAAAAGTAGAGTGTGTGAACTTTTTTCTCTATTTTTATTCCATGTGTCAGCATTCACCTGCATAAATTGAAATGTTTTTATTACTACCGTGATGAGCAAGTGGAGATGGGAAGCTCTGTAACACAGTCCTTCCTACAAGTAACTCAATTCCTGTCATGGATGGAGTGTTTTCTGGGTCCAGGTTTTATTTCACAGTAGGAAAGTAAAATGCTCTGTGGCAAAGGAGCTCCATGTATTGTCCCCATTACTATAGCAGCTGACATTGAAATACCAGATTATTATTCACCATGATTTGTTAAATAAAAGTTGAGGCTTACAAACAAGTCTGAGTTTGGCACAGTGGAACTCAATGCAGTTGTAGCTTTTTGGGCATAACTGCTACTGGAGTCAGTGGGAGCTATACATGTGTAGCAGCTGCAGCGTTTTGTTTTGTTTTGCAGAACTTGATTGAAGTTTCAAGGGTGCATCTATCCAAGGGAACCTGCCAACATTACTTCCAAGGGGATGTAACCTAAACACTGAAAAGGCCATTGTTATTTGGAATAAGTGTGTACTGAAGGCCATGTTTTCACTCTGGGGAAGATTGATGCTGCTGTGATCAATCTTCCAGAGTTTGATTAAGTGGGTTTAGTAAAGACCCACTAAATTGAACTTAAACGGCTCCCCCATCAGTGGCCAGTACTCCTGCTCCAGCATGGAGTAAGGGAAGCTGACAGAAGCATTTGCTCCCGTTGGCCTCCTGCTATGGGCATAGTGGGGAAACTAGAATCAAGGTACAGTGATTCCAGCTAAGTTGTTAACATAGCTAGAGTTGCGTATCATAATGTAACCTTCCCCTTTCATGTAGACCTGGCCTTAGGAAGTCATCTGCATAGCAGTATAGCAGTGTGCACTCCTAGAGGAATTCAGTGCTAAAAATTAAACAATCTGCACACAATTTTTTAAAATTCTGCATATTTCAGTTGTCAAAATAATCACACCAGTTTCAATTATTTTTGGTAATTAATTTATTTCAAAATACCTGTCAGTAAGTATGTCGTAACAATACAGGCAACAAAAAATATTTCCTCAGGAGTAGAGTCAAAGAAACTTCTGTGACAACCCAGTTCCTGTTTCTTTGTTATGCTTTTGTTAGTTACCTCGGTCTGGGTATGTCTCTTGTGCCTGATGAGCACATCTTGGGAGAAATGTCTGCCCCTCCAGTTTGAGACATTGCTCCCATATCCTTAGGATACAAGTATGAGGCACAGCACAGCCCAGATACCTGTACCCTCAACTCCCTAGAGCCTAGGGAACAGAGGGAGAAACAGCCTGATGCTGGGTCCCTGGCTTGTAGAGAATTTCCTGCACGCTGCTTTCTTCCTTCAGGACATAATGGGAACAGCAGCTGCATGGAATAGTCCATCTCCCTCTCCTCCTGACAGTGTCATGTATTTATGAGCTGGAGAGCCATTTACCTTAGGGCCAGAGTTAGTCCTCAGATCCCACTAGTGGGCCAGCAGGCACCCCTCTCTAGCAGAAAGTCTCCTGGCTCTCGTACATCCCCTTGCTCTGCTGCAGTGAAGCGGAACAACTGGGATGGTCTGGGAAATGGAAACAGAGCAGAGGCTGCTGCATTACTCTGCTTCTCTGCAGCGCCTGCTGCCACACTGAGTGCAGGATGGTGGGGCAGAGACTGACCTTGGCTGTCACCCTCCTAAGCCTCCTAGTAATCCCAGGGGGAAGGGGCGAGATTGAGAGGGAGAAGGCAGAGCAGGGGTGGGAGGAGGCAGGGTGGGTGTAGGTGGTGCAAGGACTGGACTTGGGCAAAGGGTATGGAAACCCTCCCCAGGGGCCCAGAGATTCATGTGCCAACAGCTATGTGCAGGTCATGTGAACTGCTCGGGCTGCAAATGGGCCACGAGACTGAGATCCCTGGCCAAGATGGTCAGGAATGCAGCCCTGTGCTTTTGTTGATTCTAAACAGGTGACTGCCAGAAGCAGGGGTGAATTATTCCATAATTGCTGTGTTCTGTTCACTCTCCCGAAGCTCTCGTGGGGACTGCCATTGGAGACAGAATACTGGGCAAGAGGGGACATAGTCTGACCCAGTATGGCAGCTCTTGTGTTCTTGTCAACTCTTGCCACGTATGACTCCTCCGAAGATTTTTTTCTTTAAAATACAATTCAGTTTGTCCAAAACCCTTTGTCCAAAAATCCTGCTCCTCAAAGCACTTAGTTCAGAGTAGGGATGTGAAAGTGTTCATGGTTAAATGCAGGCTTCCGGTAAATGCCAGCTGTCCACATGCACTGGCTCCCAAGGAGCCGCCTGTTGCCCCATCCTGCTGCCTGCGGGAGGAGGGCTGCGGGCAGGCAGGAGCCGGTACACACAGGGATCCAGCTGCTCTCTCCCCCATGTAACCATTTTCCACAAATATACATTTTAACATTCCTAGTTCAGAGTAACTATAATTAAACAGCCTGGTGATCAGCCATGCCATTCAGGGCTTAAGGAAGGAGTTTCTTGTACTTACAGAATGCTTACTTGAAAATATTTTACCCCTTAGCAACAAGCACAAAGGATGTTAAATTGCAGTTATCTGGCTAATTGTTTAGTTGATTCAGTTTGTATCGACTCCACGATTAGTCAATAAGGGCTGCTCTGCAGAGCCACAGTGTGGGTAGCTCCTGGAGCCAGCTCAAGTCGGCACTGAGCAACCCCCGGCTTGTGCAGACTCCGGGAGCCACCTGCGCTGCTGCTCTGCATTTTAAATGTAGTAAGAGCTGCCAGCCGGGCTCTTACTACATTTAAAATGCAGAGGTGCAGTATTCTGGACCAGCATAAGCCAGACTGCGCAGTCCCGACTTGTGCTGAGTCCAGCAGCCCCTGTTCGTGACAGACAGGGCTGCCCATGGGCAGGGGCTGCTGCCAGAACAGCCTTTGCCCCAGGTGAGCCTCAGCCCACTGTGAACAGAGGCTGCTTCACAGCAGTCTCCCTCTGCTGCCCTCTAAGGGTATGTCTACTGGTAGTACTGGTAGTTCGGAATAGGAAGCCTAATCCGAACTACCTACTTCGTGCCGCGTGTAGCCGCGGGCACAGAGTCCGAACTAGCGGACATTTAAAAATGGCGGCGCCCAGCAACTTGCAAATGAAGCCCGGGAAATTCAAATCCCAGGCTTCATTTGCAACTCCGGTTGCCTACATTACCAGCCTAGTTCGAACTAGGGTGGTAGTGTAGACATACCCTAATAGAGGCAGGAGGGAGAGGAATGGGCAGGGGGCATTGTGGAGGGGTGCTGGGAGAAACGGCTTTTTAAGTCGGCTCCCTCCAGCACTGGCTCCTGTTTTTCCCCCTCTTGCTGCCTCTTATACAGAAAGCAGCAAGGAGGGAAGCGAGTAGTTGAGTACTCGAGGAAGTTTATGCTTATCGGGTAGTTGAATAGTCAACTGCTTGCTCACATCTTTAACAAGCACTAACTAGAAGGAGGTGTAACCCACTGAGCGTTTTGCTGCTGTTCTCTTGTCAAACTGTAGCTATGATGGACAGGCCGTAAAGCTGTCCTGTTCTGGCGATGCCTGTGATTTGAAAGGAAGGAAGATTTTGCAAGAGAATTCCTTTGAAGTAGCCATTACTTTAAATGCCAGTGAGAATTACAGTCTTTTACTTTTGCCAATGACAGAACATCTGTGATCTGAGCATATGTTCCCAGCTTGAGCCCCAATAACTGTAGAGACTGTTTGCTTGATCTTAACATGATACTTAAGCCTCCAGTGCCTCAGTTTCGCTGTCTATAGAATGCAGCAATAGCCACTTTGCAGGGTCTCTGAGAAGATAAACATGTGAACTATAAAGTATCTTCACATGAAAGGTGATGAAGCGCAAAGTAGCATTATTAGGGTTTACCTTTGAGTAGAAATTTTCCTGTTTAAAAAAAAAACAGGCCTTTGCAGGAGATCCCATTGGAACACACTTACTTGACACCTGCTGTACATTGCTAGGTAAAAGTGTGAATGAATGAAGGATACAGTATCATAAGCACAGTTATTTGCAGTGCAAAATACACTCCACCTAAATGGAAAGCTTGGTGTGAAGTTTTTGTAGTTCTCACATTTTTATCACTGTATTTTAATTTAGCAAGTCACGTTTCATGTAACTAACTTCGAGGGGCTGACTGAGAAATATATTTCAAAAGTATGTCTAACAGCCTGCTTGAAATACCCGATTTAAGAAAAATCTGACAGTTATAATACATTATGCTAATCAACTGCTTTTTCCCACCATGCAGTTCTTCTGTCAAAAGCAGCTTTACATAAAACACAAGGTGGAAGTGGAAGACTGACAGATATGATTAATTCCCAAGGAAATGTGTTTTCCTCAGATGTTAAATCTACAAATTCATTATATTATTATTTATATTATTGTTACAAGCAGGATCTCGGGGTGCTAAGGGTTGTACAAACAGAGAATAATAAGACAAAGATCTTAGAATCCCAGTAAGAATCTGAAAGTCACACTAGCTTGTGCTTTGCCAAGAATTAGAAATTCTGCAGCTGGAACTCTGTTTGACTAATCTGGTCATTCAGAAGCCAGCTCTCACTCTCAGCTGTGCTGGCTTGCAGAAGTAGTTTGGTCAGTAAAGTAAGCAGAAAGATAACAAACAAATGCACATAAGTAGCAGATAAGAGTAAAAAGAACTAATATCCTTGCTTTTCAAGCCAGAACAGTACTTGAAAAATGCCGCATTAAAACTATCTGCTTAGAGCTTCAGTGAAGTTTGAATTTTGTCTCCAAAACACTTCTCTTTTGGACTCCTTGTGAGACTGCAAACTGCCTGGTTCTGAGCACAAGTGTGGAGGAACAGTACACGTGTCTCAAAGGTTTAACAGTTTTTTACTTTGGGGGTGGGGATGATAACTTATGGACCTAGATTGAATCCAAAGCAATTTATCTGATGCTTACCACTCGGGGATGATGTTAGAACTGCTGTTGTTGATATCTTAAATTGCTTTCTTTTTAATCTGATTGCAGGAGCTTGTAACTGAAGACTGGAGAAGAGGCTGCAATTGAGTCCACATCTTTTTTCCTGTAGAAAAGTGAGGTGCTAGCTCATTAGTAGACTCAGACTAAACACCCTTTGTGTTGGCTAAGCACTTGTAGCCCTAACCTTTCCGCAGAACTGTCCTTCACATACCTGCCTGCCTCGAAACTGCCCAGACCAAGGTAGTTAGAATGCTGTTAACCCCTTGATACCAGAGATCAGACCTTCAAAAACAAACTCTGTGCCAAGGAGCTAGCAGAGTTCAAACCACCTGGAAGAGCATGCTCTGTAAGTTAGTTACCTCTAGGGTGTTCAGCCTAAATCACTTCTGGACTCCTGCATGTCTAGGGATTAAAATGTGTTATAGCTGTTTAGTGCTGTATGTTATTGACGAAACGTTCCTCTCAGGGATTGCTATGCTAGGTTAGACCACTGGTCCATGTGAGGGTAAGCTTTCAAAGTGGTACAAATCTCCTTGCAGGGGAATTAGGCATCTGAATATTTGGCTCCTTAAGTTTCTTTCTAGAGCCCTTGAATGTGTGTTAGTCCTCATGTGTCCCTCCTTAAGTTTCTCTCTAGAGCCCTTGAATGTGTGTTAGTCCTCATGTGTCCCTTGGTCAGATCAGCAGCAGCTCTTAGGCCCTCCTGTTGTGCCCATCCACTTGCTGTTTGGACTGTAGATGGTGCATAGGGGAATCAAAGCAATACACCTTTAAAACAAAATATTCTCATTGCTTTGTTTAGGCCCAAAAGGGGATTCTGCAAGCTAGCCTCCTTATCAATAGAACGGCTTCATTCTGCTTAAACACCTTGGCAGCCCTAACACTGCATCTCTCCACATTGTGCCCAGTGCAAGCAGCTCCTTGAGTGCCTCTGGCCTAGCACCCCTCTCTGCTCTCACTCAGACTCTTGTGCAATGGGAGCTTGCCATGAGTTTTTCTTTTATCACAGACCACTTTGTGGCATTGAGTTCTGAGGAGGAGTTCTTGTGATTCACAGGGAAGGCGAGGGATGTTGATTTTTATAAGGATAGGGCTGGGGTGTCAGGAACGTTACATATGTTGGAACATCCACCAGTCCAGCTCCCGGTGTCAGATGAGCTAGATAGTCTCACACTTTAATGTTATCTGGCTAGATCCTTGTACCTCACTCTGTCCAATCTGTGTCCAGCAGTGCATAGGGGACAGGGGCGCTAGAGATTTCCCTGACCTCAAGTGAACTCAATGAATTTCACATCACCTGCTCCCTTCTTGGGTGCTGGAGTGACTCTTATTGGAACATGGTACACTTCAGCCATCCTTGGCCCAGCAGCCCCTGGAGAACTGCTGTAATCAGCATAGTTTCAAGTAGTCCTTAGGCTCCGTTAATTAGACTAGGAAATATTTGAATCATCAGCTGGCTCCAGCATCAGCATATCAGCCAGACATGGGATCTGGGCCGTGTCCTGTTTCCCCTCCACCACACACAAGAATGAAGAGCAAAGGCCCCTCCTTGCTCTTTGACAAGAATGACTGTTTGATCTTGCACTGGAAGAATAATTCTGTGCTTGACACTAGGTTGTCACCATGGAAACCAATATAGGACTAGTCCTTTGAGGCAGTGAAATGTTTTTGGTCAAAAGGGAAGTGTAACAGAATCCCCGTCTGCCATTCTGACAAGAAATACAAACATGCCCTGGTTAGTGAGCTCTTCATGCACCTATTGTTGCATCCATGAGACACTCTTCAGAAATCTCAAATAGTGATTTCAGTGTTACATGTCTGGCATTGCAGCTTAGGAGGTCCCATTTGCAAACTCAATGAGAGAGATATCTGAACACTTGTGATAATGGGTAAATAGCACGTTCCCAATGTGAGCATCAGCTCTATTATAAAACTTTGTGGGCAGTTGCAACCTGAACATATAATTTTTCTTGAGGACAGAATTTGGCAATTAAATCTAGTCTACAAATCCCAGTGCATGTGGAATAGCTCTCCCTAACAATTGCATGTAATGGCAGCATATTGTTAACCTCCGAATTCAATTGGCACAGTATGTAAGTACCTCCATAGAATGTATTTTTCAGTATACTGTTAGGCCTGCATGTTTGCCTCCAAAGGACAGATAGTCGTGGGACTCCTAGGCTAGCTATTCAGATGCTTTTCCTCAGATTTGTGGAGGCAGGAAGGTTCACAGAATTCAGACACTGAGGCTACGGCTACACTGTAGCCTTCTTCTGGAAAAGCTTATGCAAATGAAGCATAGCGTGGAATATTGCTGTGCTTCATTTTCATAATTAATTAGCAGCTGCTTTTACGCAAGAGGCGCTTTTGAGGAAGAACGGCTCTTGCACAATAAGGGAGTTTTGCCCAAAAAGGAGCCGTCTACACAGCTCCTTTTTGCGCAAAAGTGGCTGCTAATTAATTATGCAAATGAAGCATGGAGTGGCATTTGCATAAGCTTTTCCAGAAGAAGGCGACCGTGTAGCTGTAGCACGAGAGTGACCCTCAGCATCAGGGCAGGAACTACAACGGCATTAGCTTGTGTGAGATCTCCCAAAGGCCTTGTTTGGCTGTCAGGCTTGCCTACAGTGTGAACGTCGTTGAAATAGTTGTTTTGGATTTCCTCCCTCTGTGGACATTTACTGATGAATAAGAGTGCCCTTTCCTAATTTAGTTTAAAGCTTAATTTATGTCCAAAATGGATTAAGCTAAATGAGAAAAGGGCTCTCTGAATTCTAGGACAGAATGTCTACACAGGGTCTTAGACTGCTTGAGCTATTCTAGTAAACTTCCATGTGTAGTGACCCTCACTGCTCCTGGTGGCACAAATGGGAGCCTTTGGCTTCACTGGGAGCAGTTAGGCCAAAACTGCACGTTTCTAAAATCTCACCCTCTTGTATTAAAAAGTGAGGAAATTTGGAGTCAGGTTTAGGGCAGCATGTCTTTCCCCTACTATGAGATCCTGAAAATAAACCCCTTTTGTCTAATTGTCCCAGCCTGTCACCTTCAGCATTCCTACTAACAAGCTCTGACCTTATCTAGTCTGTCCCCACCCTCCTCCCTTTCATCTTAGTAGGGCCTTACTAACATGCACATGTGACCTTACAGCTAACACTATCAGAACCTGAGTTGGGCTTTGATCTAACTGATCCATGCAATAAATAAGAGACACACACCCATTTCAAAGCATACCCAGAAGGGGTCTGGCAGCTTGGGCAGCCTTAACTGTAGTAGAAGCAAGCAACCTTTTATCTAGTGGGCTGCAGATAAGTTACTGCAACTGCAGGGGAGTTTTTGTCTTACCCCTGTGAAAGATAACACCTTAACTTGAAAGGGGACATCTTGGAGAAGAGACAACCTACTCTGATGTCCTTTCTGATCTGCCAGATTTAGGCAAAATGCTCCTGAATGCTGCAGACAGGTGCTCTTGTCTCTTGAGGTTATGATCTCTGTGATGCTCTAACATCTACAGGGGTGTTGTTTTTTTTGGTAGCATTTTATTTGTGTGTTTGGATTTTGAGGGTCAGACCCTTCGATTCTTTCCAACCCACTTTCATGTTTGTTGTCCTTAGTTTGTGAGCGGTCAGTTCATTTGGTCTGTGGCCCCCATCAAATACAGCAGTTCAGAGGGCTCCATCTAAGCAGAGTACTCTGGCAGTGGTGTATCGGTGAACTGTGCTGAACCTGTTCCAGGCTTTGGGGTCACAGGAATGGGTCAGGGCCCATGTGTGCTTCAGAATAAAACTATGCCATAATTCTCTCTGGCAGGGCCCCTGATACAGCAGGTCTGCAGCCCCAAAGTGGATGTCACTCCCTGTCAGGTCTCAGTCTTGTGTTAATTCATGGAAAATGTGTAGCTGCTTTGCTTAGGAAAGCTGTTTTGTTGTATGTCTTCTGAAGCCCCTGGAGCATTGGTTGAGGTTGTAGACTAATGGCCTGTGAAATTTCCTAACCACAACAGAACCACTTCAAGTGGGGTGAGAAAGTATTTGTCGCCCTCAGACTGGCAGCTGGAAAGGTGTTTGCCTGTGACCTAGTTTCAGCCTGGACCAAAACTGTGACTGAATCTTAATACCTTGAAAACAGTGGTTCATGTTGACACCTAGATGCAGCCTTATCTAGTGGTACATCCAGGGACTGTGTACAATGGGCAAGGTCCTCTTCTAGGGTGAATTGGCTTCAGTGGAGCCATGCCTCTCTACACTGGCTGAGAGTCTGGTCCAGAATACGCAGTTCTAAAACACTGTGTTCTTGCTGAAATGGACACCCCAAAGGCACCAGTATCCTGAACTGGAAACCAGTGCTGTGCTGTCAGAGACCACCCAGCACCATCTGTCTTGTGTGAAAATACAGCTTGTTTCCAAAATCAGAGCCAGACCTGGTGATTGGAAAGTGACTCCTGCAGAGAGCCATGGGGCCCAGGTCATTGGTGTCTGAACACTTCTGGCAGCAGGGCAGCATGTCGCAACAGCTTTGCGGTGGTGGGAGTGAAGGCACAGGATAGCAGTGAGCTGGGGCAGAATGTATGCTGGATAAATCAGTGGTGGTCTTCCTTAGAGGAAAGCGTCACCTAACCACCCAACAGCTTGATGCTCCTCCAGGGTTAAGTTAGAGAAGCCTGTTGGCAACAGTTACTCTGGTTTACATTAAAGTGCGTTTCATCTAAAGTTTTATTTTCTCAAGTTTTATTTTTGGAAGTGTTAAGGATGGGCTAATTACAACTTTCTATTGTGGGCTGTTAGAAACAGTGTAACTAATAGCCATTGGACAATTCCTGCCGCTACTTAGGTGTAGTTCTGAAAATCCAGGTCCCAAAACATGTACCAGATTTTCAAGATTGCCCAGGATTCATCAAGAAGAATGGAAGCTATTGGAAAACCTTGCCAAATACTCATTGACCAGTGTGCTGGAGGGAACTGCTTTGGTTACACTTCAGGTGCTTTTGTGAATTTGTATTTGCTTTGCACTTGTGTAATGTTACACTGCATAAAGCTGAACCAGTGAGTCTTATAGAGAAAAGAGAGTTAGTTTCTCAGAGGTGAAAATAACCTGAACTTGAGGTTTTGTGTTTTTGATATTTCTGTTCATACAAGATGGCCATGACTTTACTTTTGTTTGTATTGAAATAAAATCTGCTTTTTGGGTTTCTGAGACTGCCTTTTCATTTTATACCATTTTAACAGGCCATTTTATTTTCTTTGTCTTTCAGCACAAAAATGAAGAGAAAACATAACCTTTATATAGCATCTCTGCTAATCCTTTAAGCAGTACTGTCTGCTCTCAAGAATTCCATCATCTCAAATGGTAGATTACATTACCTCCAGTGCTGACTGGTGATTTCTAGATTGTAGTGAGATTGGTGACTGAGCTGTGTATGCCTTTTAACAAGGCTGTGCACCGGAGAATACATCTGATTTAAGGAGGTAATTGCTCCAGTCTAGCAACAGGAAAATAAGCCCCCACTAGCAGCAATCAGAGCAACACAAATTGATTTTGGGCTGTGGGTAACATTTCCAATGTTCAAATGACATAGGAGCCTTTGGCTTTGTGTGGGGAAAGACTTTTTTTTTTTTT